TCATGCGACTTACCACAGAACAAACACGAGCTTTCTTTAGCAGCGAATAAACCAGCTGCAGTAGGGTACTTGTTATCCCTTTTCAGCATTTTCTCTTTTGGGATAATACTTTCAAAGCCTGACCTGGCCAATTGTAATCTTTCTTCACCCGCTACCTCCCTCTTCAAAAAGTTCATTAACAACGTTAAACTCGACTTCGAAAAACTCACTTCACTATCAGAATCTTTCTTTCCCCTAATATTGCATCTCTGCCATGCTCTTCAAATATCATCAGGTAAGCAGGATTCTATCATGGGGTATAGCCAGGCTGAATTACTTTCTATATCAAGCCCCATGGATTCTTAAGATCTTAAATGTGCTTCTACCTTGGTAAATAAGTCACACAATGATAATCTGTCTTTACCCTTTGCTTGAATATTTGTTGTAATTAATTTCAAAAATTCCCTGACATACACTTCGATAAGAATATCTTTGTCCCCATAACGCTCTTGAAAAGCTCGCAAAGCTTTCGAATAATTTTCTGAAGTTATCGGGTAACTTTCTAATAAATGCCTAGCACGAGTTCCAGATTCTACAGCTTGTAGCAAAATATTGGAACTTATCACAATCATCTAATTCTTTATCTTCATGTATCTTCTTAAACTGTGCCCAAAATGGCAAATAAATTAATTAAGTGAGAATCAAAAGGTTTTATATTCAGTTTAGGTAATTTATACCGTTTGACTTTAGAGTTACTACTGACATCAGAATTACTAAAAACTGCGTCATTTGTAACTTTGTTTACATTTAGTAATTCACTAACTTTTCTTTCAATTGTGATGAATTCATCAGAATATTCCTCACAGCTTATAATTTCGGTTTCTAAATCATCTTCAGTGGCACTGCCCTTAATTAATAAATCTAGTACCTCTGAATCATAAAATTTTAACTCAGCATTTATCGTTTGTAACTTCACAATTTTATCTTTTAATACAGCTTTATCTGCTTGAGCATTTTTACTAATTTCGTTCTTTAGAACTTTAACCGTTCTAGTGAAAGCACTGCGTACCGTTGCACGTTTTTTCTTTATCATATCAACATTCATTTTTACTTTAAACTCCAGTCAAATATTTTATCTTAAATTTTAAAGTAATCCTTTTAACTTAATCTTATTTCCTCAATCCTTAATTGGATTCTTACACATTAATTTGTTTTACGTTGAAATTACTTTTATTCAAAAACATAAAACTTATAATATATATTTTAAGCTGAAAATACTAAATATCTATTTCTATTCAACTTAAATATAAACATGCTTTCATTCAACAAAATGCATCTTCAAAATATAAACATATTTCAAGTACTTCCATTTTCGGAAGCATAAATAACTAGTTCTTCTTTAAGATAACACGTCCTGATGGCGGACGCCAAAAACTTTATTATTTTACTTAATTAATCAACTACTGTTGATCGAAGTTGTCAGAATCCACTGACGTATGCAGGTTCTATTTATATTGATTTAAAAAACAAGAAGAAAATACATTTACCTGTTCTAATGCATTGTAGAATCTGACGTGATGTTTCAGCTGGCAATCTTCTTTACAGAAAAACCACAATTCTATTTCTTGACATCACATTTTATTTACATAAAACATTCAAAAGGAAAAAATTAAGATTTAAATACATTTTCTTGTACAGCCTCTCTTTTCCTTTTATGGCTGTACGAAACAATTTATCCGTCCATCACACGGATTCTAAACCGAACTCTTTACAAAAAATAAAAATAAAAACAAAGTTTTGATTTTTCTCACTAATGGAACCTCTAGCGCCCTCTAGCGAGGGAAAGACACTTTAGATGAACATTTAACACCTAGGCCTGAGCTTTGTAGATACAAGCAAAAATCAGGGCGTGCTCACTCAGCACACTTAGGTAATGTGTGACACAAATTGGCGTAATAACCAGAAACAAATGAACTTGTGAGCTTTGAGCTTTAGTCACCATAAAGTTCAATATTTTCACATTTTTAAGTCATTAGCTTGTATTGCCACAGGGGCAGTATTCGTTTAGCTTGACGAGCAGATATATCAATTGTAGATCATTTCTTGTGAGAATAAATAAAGGATCATATTTTATGCTAATAATCCATACGACCTGAAAATTTCGGAAGGAGATATCAAGCCATCTTGTTTGACACTTACAGATACATAAATAAAATATGTTTTGTGTGGTTAATTTTGTCAGTTGATGATGTCACACGATTCATATTAAACACGATTCACATGATTCATATTAAAATAAAGGTCTTTCAGAACTTGTCAAAAGTCCGTGGATCTAAGTTCTACACAACACAAAAAAGAAATTTTAAATGCAAGAACTTTATAATCATTTACCGAATAACATGCACATGCAGGTTAAAGTAACACATGCTCGAGACATAAATTGAAATGGAGTATAAATTAACATTTTACAAAAGGTTTTCATATTGATTTTAGAAAATCATAATTGGATAAGCTTAAAGTACATCATTGTACTCAATATTCAATATATTTGAAGAAATATTAATATCAAGGGTGCGGCTTCTGTCAAATAAATTTACGGAAACTTTACAAAACAGTTCATGGATGAATTTAAATCGCATTAAAGACTATGCGAATAATTCATACACAAACTTTTGCATTTTCCTAATTAAAATGCTATGAAAATAAATATTTTATATTTTCCTGATATTTTTATACTAAATTAGTTTATTTCTATTCTGTCTTGAAGGGTATTTTTTCTCATTTTTTAATGTTTTCATTCGGTTAATGGACAAATGTGATCACACATATTATGATTCAAAAATATTACACCATTAGATATCTCCTGAACATGTGATCGTAGACCTGCGCTTGACGTTCAAGATTTGAATCAGATAAAAATAATAAGCTTTCAAATTACGATAAGTTTTAACTCTTTGGTAAAAAAGTATGAAACTTAAAAATTTTTAATGCGGCTCCATAGAAAATGAAATTCAATTATTTTAAATAAACAACTGCATTATGATAGAAAATAAAGTTCTATCGTCATACGATGAAAATTGCCCAAGATATCATTTAAAACGTGAATAAGTAACGAGGGTTAATATGCAAATTTGCTAAAGTCAAATTACAAATATAATTTTCTAATGATTTCTAATGATCAAATTCTAAATGTTGTTTTTTACGTTAGGAAACCTTGATCACATAAAGTGTGTGATTCTATGTGATAATTGGATAAGCTTAAAGTACATCATTGTACTCAATATTCAATATATTGAAGAAATATTAATATCAAGGGTGCGGCTTCGGTCAAATAAATTTATGGAAACTTTACAAAACAGTTCATGGATGAATTTAAATCACATTAAAGACTATGCGAATAATTCATAAACAAACTTTTGCATTTTCCTAATTAAAATGCTATGAAAATAAATATTTATATTTTCCTGATATTTTTATACTAAATTAGTTTATTTCTATTCTGTCTTGAAGGGTATTTTTTCTCATTTTTTATTTAAGGGTGTCTTGAAGGGTATTTTTTCTCATTTCAATGACTTTGTAATTTTTATTTGCAGGAATATTAAATATTAAATTATTTTAACTGACAAAATGAAGTTTTTATCTGATCTCTCAAATCAGGTAAATGTTCAGGTAAATCAGGAAAAATCTTTCATCAGGTAAATGTAATCATTTCCTACAGTTTTTGCACTTCAGCTTCGGTCTTATATATTACATTGTAAGGTGTATGTTAATTTTATAGCAGTTATTTTAATTTTCAAACCCTTTCCTTTCAATTCTTGTTTCTCACTTAAAACTTTCTATTAGAATGAGTTTTTAGAATCGTGCTGAATGCAAATGAGTTAGAAGTGGTATTTTAAGGAAGTTCAACTTACTTCGAAAGAGAGTGGTTAGGAGTCCTTAGTGGCGCGTGTTTGCTTTCTGGCTACTTCATTCTTGAATCTATTACACTCGCCCGTATTGTACGTGTCTGTTGATAATCGCCGGCTAGTTTAAATTAAAGACCAACTATGTTAGATATTTGTGTTTAGTTTAGGCTAAGTCTATTTTATTTAGTATTAGATTAGTTTCTTATTTTCTTATTTCTTATTTTCTTATCCTGATTTAAAAGCCCAAATGGAGGCTTTCCTGTAAGCTAAAGAAGGGGCGAACTTTTATCATTTTGAATAAAAGGGTATTTTAACCCTTCTCGAGTTCACATTATAAGTGCTTGAACTCAGCGATAAGTCACTACTTAGTTCACTAGATTTCTCGACATTTTACCATAGACAAAGTAGCGAGGGACATTACAACATAACCCAATTTTTCTTAAAGGGCTCAGTAGGGTTATGTGAAATTTATTAATTAGAACTTATTTGTGAATGATGATCCATATAATAGAATAAATCTTGGAAATTTTTTCTAATTCTAAAATGCGTATTTTGACCGAAATTGCCATTCATCTGGAAGCTTACCATATTTCAGTGATCTTAAAATTAGGTGGTCGCGAAAAATGTTTTGGGGGTAGCTAGATTACTGTAAAACTGCACAACAGAGATCCAAACGTATTATAAAATATATATTCTTCAGAATCTGGGGTCGTAATACTGCCCAAGCACCTAAAATGGGATTGCATTACTAGAAACGTTTGGAAACCAACTGCCGTATTTGATTTATCTGTTTAATCGTTCAATAAACACACAATCATTTTGCAAAACAAGCTGTAAATTAGTTTCAGACATACTATTTAACAAGTAATTTGTAGGTAAATTGTTTTTGCAAATTGAAGAAATATTATTTAAATATAGTAAATGTAGAAATATTATTTAAATATAATAGGAATTTACAAAACATGAAAGCCTTCATTCCGAAAACATTTATGAACTCTTTAAATGTAAATTTTATCAGTTTTTACTTAAAATATTTGATTGTCCTTTAAAAGTGAATAAAATTTCGATACAATTAATTTTTTTAAAAAAAATTCAATGACTTTTATTACTAATTTAACGTTATATGAAAGAACAGAAAATCTACTATCCTTGATAAGGATAGACTGGCTTTTGGGTCTAAACATATATATGTAGTTAAAGTAAGTATTGCCTACTCTTAGAAAACATAACCAACTTTTTTTCTGCGTGAAAAAATAATTCAAAAATTAATAATGGAAAAGATGAATCGTCATTTACCGAAATGTTTGAAAGAATCTCCATTGCAGCGAAAACTTATATGACTCAATTTAAAAGCACCAGAAAGGTATGCTTGAATAATTTTTATATTGCAACTAAACCTCTTCGGCAACAAAGGCCTCAAATTTCAAAATCGTCTCGAAATTACATCAACCTTTTGCCATCTCCACCTTGTGTTTTATGTACTGTGTGTAAGTATATCTATCTGCTCAAAGATTATTTTGAACTATGCTCTAAATTCACTTAGTGAAATTTTGAGACAAGTGTTAATTAGTGAAATTTTAAGATCAATGTTAAACATCATATAACCTGCTTGATTTCTTCACGTTCTCTTTGTGTTACACTTTCCCATGATTGGCCATTTCACATCAAGTGGCCATGTGACATGAACGTTTTCCTTCTCTAGTAGAATCCCCTTTGTCACTGCCTTTACCTGATTGCTGGTTTCTTCAGATTTCTATGATTTATTATGTTTTCTTTACTTTGCCGTATTCTTAATAATAGTTTTTGTCTTTTCAAGCAGCAAATTTATGTCTCGCTAATTTTTATGCCGAAGTTCTATGAAGAACCAATGCTATTGAACAAGATGATCTGGTAAAAGCCACTGAGACTGCGGGAAGATAAATGCAGGACATACTATTAATTTATAATTTTACTTATTGTTTTAAAGGAGACTGATCTTGACTCTAATATTTCTTCTAAATACGAAATAATATCCAAAAAGGCTTATAATTTAATTATTAAGTTTATAAGCCTAAATATAAGAGGGTTATAAATCAATAATCTTATTAAAATATTAATGAATTTCTCTTGATGAAGTATGCCTGTTTTCATTATCTTAAAATCTGAATGACTTTTATGTATGCATATTTCAAATCCTTTAGATTATTGATTTGAAGATAAGTGGCAGAAAACTGATTTCACAAAGTAAACAGCTTACTCTCACAAATTTTGTGCAGGTTTTGTGTAAAGGAAACTAAATACGTGTATTTGCGTGGCCATAGTTGCCGTATTTGAATGATTTAGATAATTTTATCCTTTCACCAGCGAATTTCAGCTATTAATTTTTGAGTTTAACGGTGTCAATTTTCTTTTTAGGGTCTTCGAGCAAACTGGGAAGAACTCAACAAAAGGTACTTATCTCTGCCTCTTGCTATTGATACAAATGTATTAAAGAGCCGCAAATTAGACCTGGAAAAGAAACTCGATCTTTTAGAACATGATATTTATTTCTTAGAAAAGAATAAGGATATTGATATATTTGTAGTACCTCATTAATTGTAAGCAAAGATCAAAACATTCGAGTATCTATCACATAATTGTCGATCGGAAATACTATATAGTGAATCACCCAATCTTTCCAGACATATAATAAATTTGTATATTTTGTACCTTTTATGTGTGATTCTTTGTTTTATTACCAATGATATTCATTCAATAAAGCATTTTCATATATTTATTAAAAATAAAAGTCGCCTTCAGTAAAAAAAAGTTAACACAAAATACAGTAAGTCGAATACATACAAACTAATGAATATCACAGTCATTTCTGAAAGCATTCAAAACGTCCTCAAACAATTTCAAGAATATACAGCTGACAAACATTATTTAACACAAGCTGTTCTTGGAAATCAAGTTTTGAATAATTCATGCAGCTTAATAAATAGCGCACTAAGGCTATGATTATTTGATTACTTAACAAGAATGTATACAGTTAGGAATACACCATATTTTGAATCCTTGAACTTAAATTACGCAATTGCTGGAAGACAAGCATATATACATATAGACAAGCATACATACATATAGACAAGAATACATATAAACTTTACCATAAGCCGTAAAGATAAACCTCATTGTCTTCTAACGAGATTTCAAGCAAGTTGAAGCATTAAATCTTCCATATTTGTTCATGGTTTGACATGTGTATTGCTCTTCAGATAAACACTAAGCTTTGACTGCACAAATGGTTGCGCCAGTATCCTTTCATCTTAATCAAGCGGAGATATTTTGTATTGTTAAGGAATATTCTTTGATATCGCCAAGAGATGGCGTTAGGAGTCTATCTATTGGCTTACTTAACCTTTCCCCTTCTGAACACGTGACTTGAAAAAATATTCTTCTTCTTGAAGGTAGAATTTCGATGCACTACACAATAGAATTCGATTTAGATTTTAGCTGGAACTATTCAGTTCTTGCCTTTTGAGCATTAAATATTCGATTCAGGCATTTTAGCCTACATTGTATATATGTAAATATTAAGTTTAATTAAAATTTATGGAAAACCCTCCAGGCCATGCATCTCATTTTCGGATTATGAGTAATTCGACTTTGATCTAGAACTTTCGCTATATAATGGTGCATCGGCCCCAGAAAAGAATCTGATTAATTTGAAAATATGTGTTTTTCGCCTTTTGGATTAGTTTTGTAAGCGAAGACTTCTCACGGTAAGTCTCCTTTGATAATTTATTAAAATGGAACAGAAGACACTAATTAAGAATCGAGCACATATACGTGCTTCTGTAACTCAATTTATTAAAAATGTAGATGAGTATTTAAAAGAAGAAAATCAAGAAGAGTTAGAAAATTGTTTGGAATTGTTAAATAGTAAAGAAACGGAACTACATGATTTAAATGAAAAAATACAAAATTTGATTGAAGATGAATCAAAATTAGATTCAGATATTAACACTTCTATGGAATATAACGATAAAATAATAATAGCGAAGTCTAAAATCAACCGTTATTTAAGGGAATACAATACTCAAAATATCAACATGAATTTAAATAATTCATCTACAGAAGTTGAAGCCAAAAGACAGATTGAAGGCAATGTGAAATTGCACAAAATCTTAATTCATAAATTTTCCGGAGACTATAACGATTGGATGAATTTTTGGAATTCATTCAAGGTCACTATTCATGACAATGTTACACTTTCGAAGACAGAAAAATTTAATTATTTGAGAACTTATTTATGTGGAAACGCAGCATCAGCCATAGAAGGTCTCTCAATCTCAGAGGCTAATTATGACTCTGCTATAGACTTTCTTAAAAATAGATTCGGTCAAAGTGACCTTATTATCAATATACACATTTATAATCTCTTAAATTTAAATCCCGTTCAAAGTTCAAGTGAAGTGGCAAAATTGCGAAAACTTTATGATACAATTAACGTTCAAGTCAGAAGCCTTTTAGCATTCGGTGTGAAACCAGAAACATATCCAACATGTTTATTCCAATTTTGATGAAAATTGTCCCGAACGATATAACTTTAGAATTTCATCGTACAAATACTGAAAATCCTTCAACCTATGATTTAAACAAATTTCTAGACTTTCTCCGATTAGAAATAGAATCGCGAGAAAAGATTAATTCGTTATCCTTTTCCACGCAAGTCAAACCCGGAAATGAAAGGTATTAACAGATATCCACCGACGCCGAAACATATAAACAAACTGTCACCACACATGAATTTATGGCAGCCGCGTCATCAAATCGAAACTGCATTTTTTGTTTTCAAAACCATGACTCAGAGTCCTGTTTATAAGCCTTACAGTTTAATGAGAAGAGAGATATTTTGAAAAAAAAAGCGCGTTGTTTCTTTGCCTGGCCCCTAAAACACAAATCTCACACAGTGCCCGCAACGCCAAACTAAAGTTTGTAAAATTTGCAAAGGTAAACATTCAGAAGCCATATGTTTTAAAAATCCAGTTCGATAGTTAAAAATACACCAAGTGATAAAAAGGATAGTATATTAATTTCGAAAAATGATACACAAACTAAGGAACAGAAAGAAGAAATTGTTTCGGCCGTTTCACATAATGCAAATGATACAATTCTTTTACAGACTTGCACGATAAAAGTTAAAACAGCTAAGGAAAAGGTGTTTGCCAGACTTCTCTTGGATAGTGGAAGTATGAAAAGTTTTTGTGCTCGCGAGTTAGCGGACAGATTAAACCTCGAAGTCATAAGAAAAGAAAAATTGACTGTCTACACTTTTGGGAATACTTCTCCCATCCAAAAAAATTATGACGTAGTTAAATTAACTTTAGAACATAGAAGTTCTCCCGATTCTAGAATAGAAGTTGAATTATTAGTAACTGATCATATATCAGGTACAGATATTCCTCCTCCTAAATCAGAAGAAATTAAGCAAAACAGACAATTAAAAAATTTGTTGCTCGCAGATTTTCCCGATTGTAAAAAAACCCATTGCCATTCTAATTGGTGCAGATTATTATTACAACATAGTAATGGGACACGTTAAATACTTAAGCAAAAATCTTGTTGCAGTGGAAACTATTTTCGGCTGGTGCCTACATGGACGAAAAGGTGATGATGATGTCTCTTTAGCTTTCAATGTAGTTGTAGGGGAAGATTTGATTTCCAAACAAATAACAAAATTTTGGGACTTGGAAAACTCAGGACTTATTGATAAGAGGGAAAACTTCGATTCAACTGAAAATGAAGTCGTCGAATATTTCGAATCAAATATAACATATGAAAATTCTCGCTATAAAGTTAGATTGCCTTGGAAACATGACACATCAAATCTAAATAATAATAGGGAAATCGCAGAACAAAGATTTCATCGACTTAGAAAACGATTTAAAAAAGATCCTAATCTATTTTACGAATACAGGAACGTATTAAGACATCAGTTAAAACAAAATATTATCGAACCAGTTTCAGAAATTTCAAATGAAGAGGATGTCGTGTTTTACTTGCCACATAGGGAAGTTATACGCGAAGATCGAGCTACAAGTATTGTTTATGATGCATCATCGCATGCCCCAGGATCCATTTCTTTAAATGACTGTCTACATGTTGGGCCAAATTTATACCCTGAAATATTCGAAATATTGTCAAGATTTCGGTATAATCTAATAGCTTTCACCGCAGATATAAAAGAGGCCTTTTTACAGATTCCCTTACGTGAAAAGGATCGGGACGCAACCAGGTTTCTGTTTTCCGAATTCCCTAATGATGAAACCATTTCTCCTGACATATAGGTTCACTAGAGTTTTATTCGAAATAAACAGTAGTCCATTTCTATTAGCCGCTACCATTAAACATCATCTGAAAAAATATAATAAACTTTACCCTACAACGCTTCACTTTTTGAATGAGAACGTATATGTAGATGATGTGATTGGAAGCCAACCAACGATCAATGAAGCATTAACTATGAGTCTAGAATCGGTCCAAATATTTAAGGAAGCAAGCATGCAGCTTCACAAATGGCATAGTAACTCGAGACAATTACATGAATTGTGGGTAAAAAAGGGTATCGTTCCAGATGAAAATCCTGAAGATTTTAATAGAGAAAATTTCCCATTTAAATTATAGTCTTAGGTATGGCATGTTATAGTCAGGCAGTCTTAGGTATGGTCTTAGGTATGGCATGGGATAATTCAAAGGACTTACTTATTTTGATGTTCGGAACTTATTGTCTTTCACATCTAAACCAATAGAAACAAAACGATTTCTTCTACAAGTGTTGGGTCGGATATTCGATCCGATTGGAATTTTAGGACCTTTCACTGTTAGAATAAAGTGCTTAATACAGAAGATTTGGTTGTCACAAATAGATTGGGATGAACCGTTACCTGAAGATTTGTCCTCTGAATGGAGAAAGTGGTGTGAAGAGCTACCTCAAATGGCTGAATTCTCCATCTCTCGTTACCTTTTCATGCACTCGAACATTAATGTCGAAAATCTCGAACTACATTGCTTTTCAGATGCAAGTGTCAAAGCCTATGGTACAGTCGCATATTTACGTTTCACGACAGAAAATAAAGAAATCAAAACGGCCTTTGTCTCTTCTAAAAATAGGGTAGCCCCACTAAAATCCCTTACTTTACCGAGGTTAGAATTAATGGGGGCATTGTTATCAGTTAAGTTAGTCAGCAATATTCTGAAAGCACTGAAATTGAGAATTCCGTGCTATTTTTGGACAGACTCAACAATTACTTATTTTTGGATCCAGAAACAACCTGAAGCCTTCAAACCCTTTGTCAGGAATCGTGTCGAAGAAATACAAAAATTGAGTTCACCTCAAGATTGGCATTATTGCCCAGGTGTCGACAACCCTGCAGATCTCGTATCTCGGGGAACGAAGATTTCCAAGTTAATAAATGAGACCATTTGGACGCAAGGTCCCCAATGGCTTCAACTCAACTCCCTCACGAACTTTGGCCAAGATTAGATATTAAAGAAACAATAGATGAAAACAAGCTGGAATACCGAAAGGGATCCGGTGATATACATCAACTTGAATGTACAATCGAAAAAAGTGCAGATGATCTTTTCGACATATCAAAATATAGCAAATTAGAGAAGGTGTTAAGAGTCACTGCTTGCACAACACGTTTCATTAAAAATTAAGAAAAACTAGCGACATTCAAGGAACTCTCACAGCTGAAGAGTTACAAGAAGCAGAAAATTTCTGGATAAGATCAGAGCAAAAGAAGTTTTTTGCCGAAGAATATAAATCCCTCAAAGAAGGTAATTCGGTTGGAAAAAATTCTCCTTTGTATAATTTTTCTTCCTTACATTGATGAAAAGGAAATCATGAGGTTGAGAGGAAGACTGGAATTTTCTGACTTCTCACTAGATAATAAACATCCAATAATCTTACCTAAAAATTCTCGACTATGACGATTCTAATTGTACGCAAAGAACATGAGAAGATAATGCATGGAGGAATTGCTGCAACTTTAGCTAAAGTCAGATCACGCTTCTGGATTCCTAAAGGACGACAGTTAGTCAAAAAAGCATTAAAAGGTTGTATAATTTGCCAAAAATATTTAGCTAAACCAGCAGACCAGATGACAGCACCCTTACCAAAGGATAGAATCCAAGAATCGCCTCCATTTGCAGTCTGTGGAATTGATTTCGCCGGACCAGTTTACGTAAAGAATTCTAAAGACACTCGAAAATCCTATATTGTTTTGTTCGTTTGTGCAGTAACCCGAGCTGTACACTTAGAACTTGTATCAGATATGTCAACAGAATCCTTTTTACTTGCATTTCGCAGATTTTTGAGCAGAAGAGGAAACTGCGTAATCATCTACTCTGACAACGCCAAGACCTTTAAGAGGACAAAGAAAGAACTTGAGAATTTTTCAAAAGTTTTAAAAGATGACAAATTCAAGAATTTCATTGCCAAAGAAAGAATCCATTGGAAATTTATAATCGAACGAGCCCCATGGTGGGGACGGTTTTATGAGAGACTTGTTAGATCTGTTAAAGAAAAATCGTAGCAAAAGCATTGTTGACTTTCGAAGAAATGTCTACACTACTTGTCGAAGTGGAGTCAGTTCTTAATTCACGACCTCTAAGTTACGTTTACAACGACAATGACGAGCCGCAACCGTTGACTCCAATGCACTTCTTAAACATTGGACAAACTGATTTGAAGTATCCTTTGACCTTTGCTAGAATCATCGGTAGCGAAACGACAAGAGAAACGCTGTTAAAAAGAAAGCGTTATCAAGAATTGCTGTTAAAACAGTTGTGGTGGAAATGGAAGCAACAATATTTATTAGATCTTAGAACTGCCCATTTCTTGAAGAATCCGCAACTTCAACCAGAACTAAAAGTAGGAGATGTTGTTTTAGTCGAAGGAGATAATAAAAACAAACTCTTATGAAAACTTGGTAGAATCATAAAAATTATTCCTGGACGTGATGGTAAAGTCCGATCATTCGAATTAAAAACTGGTAATGGGACTCTAAAACGTACTGTTCAACATCTATATCCTCTTGAACTTTAGATATTTTGAACTTTAACGATTTAGTTATGCTTTTTTCCTTTTTTGTCTATTAATGATTAAATTGAATATCGTTAGTTAAGTTTGTTCAGTTAAGTGGAAAAATTTAGTTCATTTATTAGTTATAACATTTATTATTTGATACATGAAGTGTATAACCTGTATTGGAATTGAAGTGTTTGACTAATTAGTATATTTTAATATTTTTATAGAATAGTGATTTATGTACTTGATTGTATGTATAACTGAGTTAGATGAACTCTTGTCAGAGTTCAGGTGGGGAGTGTGTTAAGGAATATTCTTTGATATCGCCAAGAGATGGCGTTAGGAGTCCATCTATTGGCTTACTTAACCTTTCCCCTTCTGAACACGTGACTTGAAAAAATATTCTTCTTCTTGAAGGTAGAATTTCGATGCACTACGCAATAGAATTCGATTTAGATTTTAGCTGGAACTATTCAGTTCTTGCCTTTTGAGCATTAAATATTCGATTCAGGCATTTTAGCCTACATTGTATATATGTAAATATTAAGTTTAATTAAAATTTATGGAAAACCCTCCAGGCCATGCATCTCATTTTCGGATTATGAGTAATTCGACTTTGATCTAGAACTTTCGCTACAGTATCTACCTGTCAAATCATATTCTGGTGTGCTCTGAACTTAACAATTTAAGCGAAAGTGCTAAAAGAAACGCAATAACAAGATTTTTCTGCATGGAAGAGAAATTGAAGACTACTTTATAAGCATTTATTGTTCTTTATTTTTTCTTCTGTTTAAAAGTAATATAATTTGCTTCGACATAAGAAGGCGAGCAGCTGTGAGTGAAAGATTCTTTCAGAAATGCATAGAATGCAATACTTCAGTTATGAGTGATGGATTGTAAAACTCGATCGAAATTTACCGGCTGATATAGGCAATAAATCTGAAATAAATCTGAAGAATGAATAAAAAAATCGTAAATCAATTAGCTATACGGAGCATTGTAGTTCAACATAAGAAACATGCACAGAGTAATCAACAGAAAACAGCAGCATGAACGTAAAAAGCACACAATATTCAGAGCCTGTTCATTTGTGAGAGAGAGAAGTGGAAATCATTTTGATGGTTTTGTGGTTACGGTGATATATAATGTCGCCATTTTTGTAGAGCAGCTTATGGTTTTGCAATGGAAGTACTGTTAATCATTCATTTTCCAAAGAATATGTAGCACTGGTAAAATGATGCTTACTCTACATTTTGATTGCAAAATACTAGTAAAATACCTCCCACACTGTGCAGTAATGAGCAAGACTGTAAAGCACTCCAAAGTTTCCGAAAAGTCAATGCAGACGGAAAAATAAAATAAAATATGATATATGTTAATGCAGAGTCCCGTTCCTGCCATCTAATACCGTCTAAACTTTCCAAATCCGTAATATGATACCCTGCTGTATCCTGTGTATGAAGGACTATATATTCGTCTGCGTGTGTCACTTATTTAGTTTTCTATACAACAGCAAAACTTTACAGATGATTTTGAAGTTCGAATAGTAGTGTGAATTAGTCAGTAAGCTCTCATCACGTTCACTTGTTATAAGAAGATATGCTTGTTAATAAAGCCCATGTGATTATTCAGATGTATTACCTCTTCGTTGCTGTTTTCATTTGAAAGAACCAAATATATATTCAGTATTGTTGACCGGAAAAAGATCAAGATTCAAAATTAAAAATATGGGTTCTATTAAATGCTTAAGAGTTTTGAATGATTATAAAGTCGAACTAATGGTAAAATATGTGACCCCGTACGTGTTTTTTATTTATTTCCCGAAATGCTATTTAAAATATAAGTAAATACTAGCTCATAATGAAAAGCCAAAACTGTTTGAATGCGCTTCATGCTCAAGATTGGAAATTGGGAATCAGTTTAGATCTTTTCCTATTAAGCAATTAATTATTCTTAAAATGGTTCATTCGAATTACAGATTATTTTAAGTCAGCGTTATATATATGACACCCAAACTTATTGACGTTAAATATTTCCCATTGATTGCATTCAGAATTTCATTTAAACTTTATGCGTTAATTTATTGCGCAATGACATCATGTTTCGTCTGTAAAATGAAGAAATGTATACAGTCCAATAATATGTTTCAAAAATGGGGAAAAATGAACTACATGAAAGATAATTTTCATTTTTACAATAAAAGTAATGATTTTTTTTCTTAAAATTAATTACAGACTATACTCAAATAACACATTCTATAAAGATAACAACAACATAGAAAATTTAAAAACGACATTTATTTTCATCTTAAATTAAGCTAATGTAACTGAGAAAAATTGTATTATTGCTTAATTTAAGCAATCAAAAATAGTTTCTTTGATTTTACAATCATGCCAGTGTATTTGTTTAGTAAATCAAAGCCGTTGTGATGAATTCTGATGCGGGCATTTTCATGAAGGACTAGGAAAAGTCAGCACTTTGTTCTCATAATAATTTAGCTTAGTTAGTTTCTTGAATATCATACATAACATGTCCCAAAGGAATTCCAGTACTTCGATAAAAGTTATCAGAGTCAGACCCATAAAAAATCCTAAATTTCCTCCTACGTTAGCCACAAGAGTTTCCCACTGAAACATATATACATATGCTATAAATAACACTTTGAAAACTTACGGAGAGGGAAGGAAGAAATGTGTATACTTACGCTATAAGAAGCAATTTCGCTGTCTTTGCCAACTTGAAAAGTACTGTAATATACTTTCAGACCAACTAACGAATTTCTGTACAAAAAAAAGTTATCTGCATGACTACTTAAAATGCTTCGCCAAATAAGATTTTAATTAAATGTAAATGAAAGACTCAAATAGTACAATTAGTTGACATAAATAACCCTTAATAAAGGAAATGAGTTATTTTAGACTATAAAATATTAAAAATATTTTAGTTTAGTTCAAATAATATATACTATTTCTTTATTTATTTTGAAATTAAAAGTTCATCAGAAGTTAAATGTCGGCAATTCATAAAAAGGATAAATACAGCATGAGCCATAAATTTTTGCACTTTTGACACTAAATAAAAAATACGTAATCTTATTGAACTTTTATTTAACATCAGAAAGAGGCATATCTGAGAACTTATTTTTTTAAAAAATAATACCGTTATAGTGGTATTTACCTTCATGTACTCGGCAGTCTTGCAAATGAGTGTAAAGATTTTGAGAAGCACACTGACATATGACGCTTGGAATCGAAGCTGTTTCATCGTGAATATTTTGTTTAAATAGGATTATCGTTTTCAGTTTATTTTTGTATACAGTCAAAAGTCTTTAATCCGGACTCGTCGGGACTTCGGCGATTCCGGATTATCGATTTTTTCGGATTACAGATCATCAATGTAAATCTGGTAAGATGGCATGCAGAAATTATAAAATTAAAAATATGAAACCATAATTTATGAAATAAAGAGCAATTATATTTATCAGAGTCAAAATATTTATCAGAGTAAAGAGTAACCCTTTACTCTGATAAAAGTATATTTATCAGAGTAAAGGGTATCAAAATTTACAAAATAAATAAATAAATAAATAAATAAATAAAAGCTTAATATTTATTTGTTTACTTTTCTTTCAACGCTCGCATGCGTAAAGCATACATTACGCATAGTCGAAATTAGAAAATTGCAACCAGAAAACTACGTATTTTATGTGTATTCGTGATATTTATAATGACGAGGAAATTGATTTAAATCATATCGGAGTACATCGAGATGAAATACTACATTTAGTAAGGAATTATAAGCCGAATAAAATAAAAACATCTGCTCTGAAGATAAGGATAGTGCTGAGAGATCAACTTCCAGTTCATTGCGCGCCGCAACGTCCCCCTTCCGCAGAGCAGCGTGAAATCGATAAATAGATTTCGGAATGGTTAGAGAATTAAAGGATATGCCTTTATCCATTTTTTGCAGCAATTCCACTTTTTGTTTGATGGACACGGAAACATGCTTTCCCTTTGGCAGCTCCAGAATCGGAAATTCTTTTTGACATAATCGAAAATTCAAGCTTACTTTTATAAAATTGGTCTAACAATCTGAAAAAAATAATAAGCCGGATCCAATTAGAAGATTAAGGAACAACGCAATTTGCAACATTAACTGAAATAGATAATTAGATAATTTTAGCTTAGCTTATACCATCCGTTATACATTAAACGCGCATGCGTAAACGTATTATGCGCATGCGCAGAAAGTTTGTAGCTTTTAGATCCGGATTATAGATCATTCCGGATTATGGACGTCCGGATTAAAGACTTTTGACTGTACACGACTCCTGTAAAAAAGAACGTAAGATCAAAACTGTTTGGAGGCCGTTTGGGATATCATACCTAAGAGAAATCAATTAATTGGAGAACACTTTTTTAACCAGAGAAAAACTTTTGAGAACATTTTGGACATGTAGTACCATCCTGCTACATTCAACTTCTCTTGTCACAGCCTTCAGATTCTTACGATTCTTGTGCCTAAAGTCTTGGTCGTTTCTTACGAACTGTATAAACAGCTTCCAGATTATCTTCGCTTCACCGACAGGGTAACTTTCCTGCTTGCTTAACATTTGTGACAGAATCAGTTTTTCTAATATCCTGATCCATGATTTAATTACCTTAACACTAAAGCAATGACTAATGTCGAGTAAATAACATTGTAACCGATAGCAGTGCACCGTAGAGGCATATGACAATTGTTACTTTTGCAAAGGTGTTTTACACAAAAAGCACGCTGTTGATCTCTGAAGTTTTCCATGGTTACTGAAATTGACTTACGTAACCTAGCTACCGCCTTTCTCAAATGGATTTAAAAAACAAAATTTTCATTTTCGAATATTTATGGTCTTTGTGAGGTAATGCCAGATCTCTCTAGAGTAGATTTGCAGTTGTCATATAGATTTTCCCATCAGATCTTTCTATATTGCGTGATCATCAGTATGAAAAGCACTTAACCTATTTGTCATTCTGCTTCTGCCATACGTTACAAAATCGGGCGTAGCAATAATAATGAAATTTCTACTTTTAAACTACCGGTTTGGAGCAGAATGTTCTCGAACGCAGAGCAAACACTATATAAACCCTACCTGGACGCGGAGTAGCAGTCAATTAACAGTCAGTGAGTGAGTGTCTCCTAGTCTAGCAGCGAGATTTCTATCAAGTTGATCGCGAGTTAGTGCCTCGTCGAGATTTATTTTGAGTGTATTGAGCTCCAAGAACGACCGATCCGAGTTGGGAGTTGTACTCTAGTGCTTGTCGTCGAATGCATCGCGAGTTGTAGCGCGGACAGTCTCGAGAGTACGTAGTTCCGAGAACGACTTAACTGAGTTCAGAGATGTACTCTGGTGCTTTGCCGTGAAAATGTCTCCACCGTTATAGCCCGATAGCCTGAAGAATGCGCTGCTGATTGTTTCAGCGTGTTTGTTGTAGTTTCTCGACGACTATAAGCGTGTTTTTGGAGCTGTCCTGAGTAATAATGGCTAATAAATTGTGTTTTCATTCTCTATCAAGTGTTGTCGTCAATCACTCCAAATCGCCCGAACTCGTACAGAAAAGAATGCAACAATACTTTGCCTTGTATCATATTCATTTGTAGAGACATTAGGATTTTTTGGAAGCAGGCAGTATGAAAAATATGCAAAGCCTTCGCCGGGAATCGAACCACGAACCTCTGAAATACGTGCCCAGCGTGCAGACCATCACACCACGAAGGCACGCCAAGACGGCCTTATATATTAATAAAACTAATATTGAGCTATACATTTTACATAATTTTTACGGAGACAGATGAAAATTATTTCTAAGGAATAGTTAGGAACTGAGAAAGAATAGCAACATTATGTGGCAGTTGTTCTGAAAATCCTCTAATTCTTCTTGACATGCTTCACTAAACTTCGTCAGAATGATTACTGCAGTATACCTTACATCATATTCGTTAATATTGTTGCCTGCGTACGGGTTCGTTATGAAATGAATGCACAAGTCCGATGAAAAATGAACAAAAATTTATTATTATCACAACAAAAATGCTTAAATTTTCTCAAATTATCATGCAGTATTACAATATCTCACAGTAGTTTTCTTTTAACTACTCAAATATCCAATAGAACGTAATTCAAAACAGCTAAAGAACGCTAATCCGCGAATTCGCTACAATCAACAGGAGCAGTTTTCTAAACAACAACAAACTAAGCAACTACTCACAAACTGAGATGTTTTCCTCCTTTTATAAGATTTTAAAATCACGCGCTAGAATTTTCCAGTACTTCTCGAAATCAAAAAGAGATATTTATTTATTTAACGCACGCGCTCTTGTATTTTAATTTTTCCGGCTTAGCTTTCTTTTAATATTCGTCACGCGCTGCACTGCGCGAGAAATAAAACCATTTAATTTATAATTGAACTAACATTAGCTTTTTAAATACCAAATTCGTAACACTGCCCCCTTCCCAAGGACTGCACGTCCCGGGCAGTACAATCCCTGGACAGGAAGCTAAACTTACAACTGTGGCATAAATGCAACTGAGGCATAAACATTACATTACAATATCAAACAATATGAACAATAAATGCAATAACTAACTTAAACAAATCAAATGCTATCAAATACTAAATACAAAACAAATACTAAATACAAATCAAATACTAAATACAAATCAAATACTAAATGCAAATCAAATACTAAATACAAATCAAATCAAATACACATTTATAAACAAAAAGGACCATGGTCTGATACTATTTACAATTATTTACATTACGTACTATGGCCATAGTAATAAGCTAACCTGTCGTAAGAGTTCGAAGACTCACGGAGACGTCATTCAGTCTGTTCCGCACTGTACATGGACCATCCGAAGGTGACTGTAGTTTAGGACTGAGTCCTTTTCGTTGAATCGGGTTCCACAACCTCACCTTGTCTCCTTTGTTGGATCTATGTCCAGTAGCTCTCGTGTTGTATCTGGTCTTCACTTTCTCCGTCGCCAAGTTCACTCGCTTTCGTGCGAAACGGGGCATCACTTCAAAACGGGCCTGGACATCTTCGATGTGTTCCTCAGGCGATGAAGGCGCATCCGTACGGCGATCAAACAGGCGGTCACAAGGCAGACGAAGGTCTCGACCGAAGAGCTTCTGAGATGGAGAATAGCTGGTAGTCTTGCGTTTCTTTTCGACCCTAGCATGATTTCGGCGGCTTCCCGAGCTGGGTCTTTCGGACAAGGCGTCGGCATTTCCAAGTGAGGATCTCTTCTGAGGATGGATAGTCATGTCACCAGATGCTGAAAGCAGTTTGTTGTTTTTGAAGTCTAAGGAAAAATTGTATTTCCTTAAAAAGTCCAATCCGAGTATGCATGGATCTGTGATATGTCCGCCACATAATGCCGTGTGATGGTAGGCGGCACTTCCAAACGTGATGTTTACGTTTAACTTCCCAGTTATGTCGATCTTATCACCAGACGCAGTCTGAAGGGTAACACAGGATGGCGTCCAAATAAGTTTATCTTTAAACTGTTCAGCTAAGTCTTTCCTAATGATGGTAACATTAGCTCCTGTGTCAATGATCATATCGCAAGGAACTCCATCGATATTCCCATTAATGGACATTCCGTTACTGTTGCCACTCACTGTATAAATTTTAAGCGCTTTAAAACAAGGTTTTTCATTATCTGGCAACCTCCGTTCCTCGATATGGTCACTGATTTGTTTACTGCGTCGTTGCTGGGAAATGGTCTTATTTTCCG